AAAGTAGAGAATAGAGGAGGGTGTGGTGGCACATGCCTTTAATCCCAGCCCTTGGGAGGCAGAAGTAGGCAGATTTCTGTGAGTCTGAGGCCAGCCTGGTCTACATAGTAAGTTTCAGGCCAACCAGGACTACATAGTGAGAGAGATCCTGTCTTTACAACATTAGAGAATAGAATAATGGTCAGTAGAGCCCAGAAGGAGGTGGGATGTAGAAAGGGAAGGGCCAGTTTAAAGTTGCAGTTGGATAAATGGAATAGCCTTCAATGTTCTATAGCACCATGAGAAGACAGTAGTTGACAGCAATGAACTATTTCCAAGCAGCAGAGAGGGGTTTGAAGTTGTTCTGACATTGATGTGTGCATCTCTGGTGACTGAATTTGATGAGGGATTTTCTTCAGATCAGTGTCTGCTCAAATACTTGCCCCCTTTTAAATAATAATTCACTTTTTTTTTTTTTTTGGTTTTTCGAGACAGGGTTTCTCTGTGTAGCTTTGCGCCTTTCCTGGAACTCACTTGGTAGTCCAGGCTGGCCTCGAACTCACAGAGATCCGCCTGGCTCTGCCTCCCGAGTGCTGGGATTAAAGGCGTGTGCCACCACCGCCCGGCTAATTCACTTTTGTTTTTAATTGTGTGTGTGTGTGTGTGTGTGTGTGTGTGTGTGTGTGTGTGTGTGTGTGTGCGCGCGCGCGCGCACGCGCGCACTGAGGAGGGTCAATGCTCATGAGTCCAGATGCCTGAGGAAGCCAGAGGCTTCTGACACTTGGAGCTGGAATTACAGGAACATAGAAGCTGGGAGTCAAACTCAGGCCCTCTGCAAAGCAGCACTCGCTCTTAACCACCAAGCCATCTCTCCAGCCCCATTTGCCAATTTCAAATTGAATTGTTTGTCCTTCTTTTATTGAGCCCAAGTCCTCTGCAGATGGCATCCTCTTAGGATTGATAAACATTTTCTCCATCACTCCCTTGGCACCTTTGAAGAGCCTAAGTGTAAATGTTGCTACTGCCCTACTCATCTGTTGTATTTTGTTAGGCTTTTTTGTGTGTGTGCTTTTGGGGGTCATTGCCAAGACTCCCATATCAAACCAAAAGGTAGAAGATTTACTCTCTATTTTCCTCTAAGAGTTCTATGCTTCTAACTTTCTATGTAGGGTTTTGATCCATTTCAAGTTCACATTGGTGTGAGGTGTGACGTAGGGGTCCAACCCCGCCCTTCTGTATGTGACTCCTCCCTTCACTTTTAACCTGAGCAAGGATCTTCTCGTGCTACTAATTGCTTTCCTCTGTAGAAGTAAACGGGTTAGGCTTTCCACTGTCAGGTTGTTCCTGGGACTGTCTTCTGGTCCAACCCCCTTAACTCTCTTTGGAATTGTTGAGCCCATAAAGGAGAATTCCCAACTCTAAAGACAGAAACTTTCATTTCACTGTCCATCATCACTGTGATAGCTAAAGCTATTCCCCCTCAAAGTCCCAGAATATTGAGTTGAGTGTTTTCTCCTTTCTTTATCTAGCTGCCTGCCAATAGATCCTGGAATGACTTGCAAGGCAAGCAGGAGACGGAGAGCGACAAGGCCCACATCACCTACCCAAACACAGCAGCCCCAGAGCCACACCCTCTGTCCTTTCTGAGTACTGCCAGGATCCCAGTGTGCTGAAAATATCCCTCTGTGGCCTCAGCTAGGCAGCTCCTCTCTCTTTCAGATGGCTTCCTCTCTGATTCCATGGTCTACATCTGCATCCACTGCTCCTTTTGGTCTTGTGGTTTGTTTTGTGCTATAGGCAACTGTCTTCCTCAGCCCTGCTTTGTCGGGGACTGCTTCCTGCTGAGAGCTGCTTAGAAGCTTCTCTCCCAGACAAAGAACTATATTAACTAATAATTGCTTGGAGAGGGAAAACTAGCCTCTCCCAGGGGTGAGCTCCCCAGTATTGGTACAGTAAAAAATGGTCAGCCCTGAAACCATACACACATAAACAATGAAGGTGGACTCAGCAGGTTGTGATTATTTATTTGTGCATAAACACCATACATAAATATGCACATATATGCATGTACGCAACAATAATAATCAAAGAAGAAGAGACTATCAATTTAAGGGTTGAGGGGAATGAGAGGGGGTGGAGGGAGGATACCTGGAAGGTACTTTGAAGGAGAAAAGAGAAGGGTCAAAGTGATGTAACTATTTTAATTTAAAAAGTATTTAAAATGTTTGGATAGACATTAAATATTATATATATCCATAAATAAAGAAATTACAAAGCTGAAAAAAGAACTGGCTAGTAAATTTCCCTGTAGCTTTTACTCTAATATCTGAACATGACACTGTGTTAACAAATTAAGACAGCTTGTAACGGGGAAAGCTAAGGATTTTTGCCGAAGGTGGTACTGTGAAAGAGGAAATCACCAGGACAGCCCAAGGACACTGGTGCTGCAGCCAGCATCACTTCAGCACCCTTCCAGGAAGGAACCCCATGGGCTACAGGTCCCTAGCTAGGTTGACCTATACTTCACCCTGTCCCTCCCTGTGGGGCGGGGTCTGATAGCTTCAAGAAGGCTTCTGGGGTCAGTGGCCAGGAACAAAGTCTGGGACCTGGGGAGCGTCGGAGCTGAGCACACAGGTGGGTTCCGATGGGACATCAAAGAGGTCGGCAGGAAAGGGGCACAAGCAAGGTGACAAGGCATGGTGTGAGAGACAGGGGACAGGGAGACACAGGGGAGGAGATCCAGAGGGTTCAAGAGCCCAGAATGGGCTGCAGAAGGCCACTGCAGGCAACTCTGGGGTGAGAGAAGCAGGCCCTGTACGGGGTGGCTTGCAGGGGCCTGGCGATCCTCCCATCTGAAATCAGAGGGGGCAATGCCTGCCAAGTTCTCCTTTTCCTCCGTGGCTCTGGTACAGGTCCTCCCCAACACTGCCCATGTGACTTCGGAAGAGAGGAGGCTAAATGTCTTCTGCATCTCCTTCCTACTGCCTAAAGCAAAAACACATTTGGAGATAAGAAACTGTAAAGAGGGAGGCCGGCCATAAAGGGCATAAAAACACAAGGAACACACAATGCCTGCATTAAGATTTCAGCCCCACCTTCCGGAAAGATAGTAAAAGATCTGTGGTTGGTAGAGAGTGGGCTTCAGGGAGGGAGGACTATGGAGAGCTTGGAGAATTTGGGGAGTGGGGGCAGTGAGACTATTACCTGACACCACAGGGACAGGATCCTCTGGATGCACCATCTGCTCTGGGTATTAATGGGGGTCCTGTGGCTCAGTTGTTACACATGGAACATGCTGGTGGGTGCTAATGGCAGAGAAGGCTGGGGGAAGTGGCAGGGGACATGGGGCAGTGCTCTACACTTCCTGTCCAAGGTGACTATGAAGCTAAAACACTCTCAAAACTCAAGTCTAGGATTGAGCAGTCCAGTAAGGCCAGTGGAATGTATGAGTAGGATTCCAGGTTCTGCCTGAGCCTTCTGGTGTCAGTGACAGACATAAAGCAGCTCTTCTGTTGAGAAATGTCACTGGGAGGGGCTTCCCACCGAGGCCCAGCAGTATTGAGGTCAGGTTAGAATCTGGGAAATCAGAGCTCGTGATAATGACAGAATCCAACATGTGTGCAAGGACAGAGGTCTCCTGGGAATTCTGAACATAGCAAGGCCTTACACACAGCCTCACTCCAGGGACAAGGGAGTTCAGAGAGATAGACACTTAAGACTCCTAGCATCCCAGAGACCCCGCCCTGCACACATACACAATATTCTCCCGGTGGCTTGGGGACAGGGTTAAAGATCCTGACTATTCCCTCCATGAAAAAGGAGGTGGTAGGTCGTATCTCTATCCCCTGTCTACACTGAGGGTCCAGAGGAAGTGGACAGGGCTGTCCCCATGCTCTCCACATAGTCTGCAGTGCTCACCACCCCCAATGTGCTGTGGTCCAGGCTGCACCTTCAGGGGTCAGTTTAAAGAAGCAGATTAGCTAGCACTCCAGGTGATCCTGGAAGGCCAGCTTTGTTCCAAACCCATGACTTAACATCTGATTTGCTTGTTTGGACAAGCCCAGAGTGGAGCCAGGTGCTGTTGTCATTCCCATTTTACAGGTGAGACTGTGGGGAATTTAAGCAGTATGGCCAAGACCATGCAAGTGGTCCTTACAACGTCATTTAGCAGGACTCGAACCCAACACAAACCCGAGAGCCTACACTTTGAACGTCTACACTGACTTTCAAAAGGTGGCCCCTAGGGGATGTTGGGGGGATGGCCCAGATAATAGGACTTGCCCTGCAAGGGCAAGAACCTGAGTTTGATCCCCACACCACACCTGAAATTCCAGGAGTGATGACACACGCTTGTGATCCCAATGCCGGGGAGGGGGAGACAGGAGATCCCTGAAGCTTGCTAAGTGTCAAGCCTGGTGACATCAGTGGTTTCCAGGTGAAAGTCAGGGATTAGCCTTACCAAAGGGAAAAGAGTGGAGAACGAAGGGAAAAGACACTTGAAGTTGACTTCTCCCCTACACATGCGTGAATACATAGCACACACGCACACACCTACACACACACCCTCACACAGATACAAACACACATACACACATCAACAATTTCATTAAAAAAGCATCTGTTTTGCAATGAGTATAACCCTCTGTTTCACCAGAATACAAGCCTTTGAGATGTTTGTGGTTCAATTCTTGGGCTGCCGTGACTCATGTCCCTGGCTAAGGAAAATGTTCCTCTTTTGAAATAAACTACCAGAGAGGACCAAACATGGGAATGGATGTAAACAAGAAAGTCCATGGGGCTATAAGAGGTAAAGAGAAGAGAGGAGAAATCAGTGTATGCATGCACAGAGGACGAACAGCATTAGGAACCGTGAGTGGGGACCCAGAGACCCCATCTCTGCCTTCAGCTTGATTGATAGGAGGAGGCTAGTAGGTAGGGAAGTGCCAGGGCTGAGGGACAAGGTACTGTGAGGTACTCAGTAGATTAAGGGTAATATTCAAGTCCTCTCCTCCCTTCTGCTGTATTCCAGAGCCATGAGGCTAGCAAAAATGAGCCTGGCCTTCACCTGGGGAGCTGTCATATTGGTGCTACAGATGGCAGGCACAGAACCTGCTGTGAGGACTCCTCATGACAAACCTAGGGTGTTTGCAGACCTGAGCACCCAGGAGATAAAGGCTGTGCACAGCTTCCTGATGAGCAGAAAGGAGCTGCGGCTCCAGCCATCCAAGAGAGTGACTTTGGCCAAGAACTCAGTGTTTCTCATTGAGATGCTACTGCCCAAGAAGACGCATGTGCTGAAATTTCTGGATAAAGGAGGAAAAAGCCCTGTGCGGGAAGCCAGGGCCGTCATCTTCTTCGGTGCCCAGGAGCACCCCAATATCACCGAGTTTGCTGTGGGGCCCCTGCCATTGCCGTACTACATCCGAGAACTGTCCCCCAGGCCAGGGCACCACCTGTCCTGGTCATCCAGACCCATCTCAATGGCAGAGTATGACCTCCTCTTCCACATGCTGAAGAGAGCCACCGCACCTCTGCATCAGTTTTTCCTTGACACCACTGGCTTCTCATTCCTGGACTGTGATGACCGGTGCTTGACTTTTACCGACGTGGCTCCCCGTGGGGTGGAGTCTGGTCAGCGTAGAAGCTGGTTTATCGTGCAGCGCTATGTGGAAGGCTACTTCCTGCACCCCACGGGTCTGGAGATCCTTGTGGATCACGGGAGCACAGATGCCCAGGACTGGAGAGTGGAGCAGCTCTGGTATAACGGCAAGTTCTACAACAGCCCAGAGGAACTGGCTCAGAAGTATGCAGATGGAGAAGTGGACACAGTGGTCCTTGAGGACCCACTGCCTGATGACACAGAGAAGCCCCCACTCTTCTCTTCCCACAAGCCCCGAGGGGAATTCCCCATGCCCATCACTGTTGCTGGCCCCCACGTTGTACAGCCCAGTGGTCCCCGATACAAGCTGGAGGGCAACACTGTGCTCTATGGAGGCTGGAGCTTCTCTTACCGGCTAAGATCTTCTTCTGGGCTGCAGATCTTTAATGTGCTCTTTGGAGGTGAGCGTATCGCCTACGAGGTCAGTGTGCAAGAGGCTGTGGCACTGTATGGAGGACACACACCTGCAGGCATGCAGACTAAATATATTGATGTTGGCTGGGGCCTGGGCAGTGTCACTCACGAGCTGGCCCCTGGCATCGACTGTCCAGAAACTGCTACTTTCCTGGATGCCTTCCACTATTATGACAGTGATGGCCCTGTCCATTATCCGCATGCTCTCTGCCTCTTTGAGATGCCCACCGGGGTGCCCCTTAGGCGCCACTTCAACTCAAACTTTAAAGGCGGCTTCAACTTCTATGCGGGTTTGAAGGGGTATGTGCTGGTGCTTCGGACAACATCAACAGTCTACAATTATGATTATATCTGGGATTTCATCTTCTACCCTAACGGTGTAATGGAGACCAAGATGCATGCCACTGGCTACGTCCATGCAACCTTCTACACCCCTGAGGGACTGCGCCATGGCACTCGCCTACAAACCCACCTGCTTGGCAACATCCACACCCACCTAGTGCACTACCGTGTCGACCTGGATGTGGCAGGTAGGACTCAGTACCAGACTCTCTTAGTCACTTGGCTGCTTCTCATTGACAGACTCACTCCACAGGGGGTGGGTTGAGACTCTGAGTCACAGCAGGGTTATTCTTTCTGTTTGCTTTCTAGCAATATAAAGCAGCATGCGTCCCCAACAAATGGAGGCAGTGAACAGTACCCTAGGGTTACCCTGTATGTGGGGTGTGCATCTGTCCTTGCCTTGGGCTGAGTGAGTTGGTATACGTGGAGTGAGGACGGGCTAAGTGTCCAGGCGGGCAATAGGTTCTGAAGCCTAGTACTTTGAAATGGGGCCCAGTGCCATCTGGGGCTGCTCAGTGTGTTTCATGGATAAAGGATGGCTCCACAGAAGAGTGGCAGGGATGTGACACCTGATATCAGATTTGAGAGCAGATCAATGGCTTCCACCTCCTTGACCCCACTTGACTCCTGGCCCATAGTATACCGACAGTCCTGTGCAAACATGGCTGCCCCTACGCCAAGGTTCAGAGAGCAGAAAACGTTCTGAAGGAACAGCTCTCCAGAAATCTGCAAGGTATCATGTGTGCGCACCACATGCCATGACTGACCGTGAACTGATCTCTAACTCCTCTGGTTTCATTTTCTGTGTCACTGCCACCACCCAGATGCCCCATCACTGGACCAGTGCCTGCCTCCAGCTCTGTATCTTCTTCACTGCTGGCTCTGAGTGTGGTCTGGGATGGGCATCTTATGAGCAGCGAGGTTTCTCTTCCAGTCTTTGAGTCTCACCCTCCGTCCCCTCTCACATCCCCAGGCACCAAGAACAGCTTCCAGACTCTGAAGACAAAGCTGGAAAACATCACCAATCCCTGGAGCCCAGGTCACTCCCTGGTTCAGCCCACACTCGAGCAGACCCAGTACTCCCGGGAGCGCCAGGCTGCATTCCGCTTTGGACAGACTCTGCCCAAGTACCTGCTTTTTAGCAGCCCCCAAAAGAACCGTTGGGGCCACGCTCGCAGCTACCGCCTGCAGATCCACTCTATGGCTGACCAGGTGCTGCCACCAGGCTGGAAGGAGGAGCGGGCTGTCACTTGGGCCAGGTGAGAAGACCCAGGGAGGGCCAGGGGCTCCATTCAGAGATTGTGCATCCTGATTGTACTTCTGTCCTCCAGGCTCTGAGTCTGTGTGTGCTTGTGGGTATGCATTCTCCTGCACTTAGGGAGGGAGGGGTGGGGGTGGTATTCACAGGGCTCCTGGCCCTTGCGTGCTGATGGTCATTCTTGAAGATTTCCAGGAGATGATCATCATTCTCTAGAAGCAACAACTTCACCATCTTTGACCCTGAAGACGCTCCCTGAAAGGGCTCAAAGACAGCCTGAGTGCCCAGAGCCACCTGACTTCTCTTCTCTGCAGGTACCCCCTGGCTGTGACGAAGTATCGGGAGTCTGAGCGTTACAGCAGCAGCCTCTACAACCAGAATGACCCCTGGGATCCCCCCATTGTCTTCCAGGAGTTCCTTCAGAACAATGAGAATATTGAAGAGGAGGTATTCACCCCATCCCCACCCCTGCCCACCTCAGGCCCTGTGGTCCTAGAAGTGTAGTTTTTTCTAGTACATGGTAAGTTAGGGTCATGACAGACCCGTCCACCTCTCCAATGGGACTGAGAACACCTCAGGAAGTGTGTAGAGACATCTTTCAAGACACAAGCCAACTACCCTCAGTTGGCTAGTACTCAGCACTGTCCTGCCCACTGAGACCTTTGTTTCTCCCACAGGATTTGGTGGCCTGGGTGACAGTGGGATTCCTGCACATCCCCCACGCAGAAGACGTCCCCAACACAGCCACACCTGGGAACTCTGTGGGCTTCCTGATCCGGCCCTTCAACTTCTTCCCAGAGGACCCGTCCCTGGCATCGAGAGACACTGTGATAGTGCGGCCCCAGAATAAAGGGCTCAACCATGTCCAGCGCTGGATTCCTGAGAACAGAGCCTGCCTGATGTCTCCTCCCTTCAGCTACAATGGGACCTACATGCCTGTGTGAAGGGTCTGAGCCCAGCCTCCGCAGAGTAGCCCCAGAGCCCCACAAGGACAGGCAATAAACCCTTCCATTTATACCCTGTATGCTGCTTTTTAGCAGCAGGGGAGGGCTGGCCATGGGCTCTATCCATGTTTCAATATTGCACCTGCCAATGACTCCCATGACCAATGCAAAGGAAGGATACTGAAATTCTCTAGCAGGTGGGTTGTTGTTGTTTGTTTTTGTTTTTTTAACATTTGAGGCTTTTATCTGCCTATCCAGAGGCTTCAGGGAAATTGTCTTATCTCAATGATGAGCATGCATAAGGAAACTGTTATATGGACATCTAATAAGATGACACCTTCACCCTTTAGACATTGGTCTAGTGTCTGGGGTTGACCTCATGATCTCTTTCTAAACACAAAAACCCCACAAATGTACATGCTGGTTTGTTGCAGTTTTGTCTGTAAAATATAAAAAACCAAATGTCAGTGGGCTAATAAAACAGACTTCAACCTCCTTTTTGTTGTGCCTACATGCCAGAAGGCACCAGCTCTCATTATAGATGGTTGCGAGGTACCTTGTGGTTGCTGGGAATTGAGCTCGGGACTTCTGGAAGAGTAGTCAGTGCTATCGACCTCTGAGCCATCTCTCCAGTCCCCTTCTCTTTTTATGAAGAAAAGAAGGCTGTAACTGGCTTGGAAGAGCATTTTCAGAGAGCCCAGAAGACAACAGGGTGATAAAAACCAGGTGACAAGCAGGTCCTGTGAACTAGACACTCCGCCCTCCCCCCCCCCCCCGTGTGTGTGTGTGTGTGTGTGTGTGTGTGTGTGTGTGTGTGTGTGTGTACAGTTATCGTTCATGGACCACGCTGGTAGATACTGACAGTCAGGAAGACCTGTGAGGGCTCAGGAGCTACAGTGTTGCACTCTATACCTTCTGCTCAAGTTTGCTATGAACCTAAATTGTTCTAAAAAAAAGGAAATTTGCCGATTGTGGTGGCACACGCCAGTAGGATTTGCTGAAGGAGGTGGAGGCAGGAGGATCACGAGTTCGAGGCCAGCCTGGGCTTAAAAAAAAAAAGGGAAATCTATGGTCCCATCAACATTCCCCTAAGGAGCTTAAGGTGGTTAATGGTTGCTAAGGGAAGGGACAGTTTTACTTAGCGATGGTGTAACCACTAGTAAGTTACCCTTGTTCAAGTAAATAACTCTCAACCCAAGAAAATGCAGTGAGCTACAAAGAGGAATGATGAATCAATCAATCAATCAATCAAGACAAGAGAGGAAGAAGGGACATAGTGGGCAGGAGCTTAGCAGGAGGGTAAGAGGATAATGAGGGAAATATTAGCAACATGTGTTATGTACTATCTATGCATAAAATTGTGGGAGGAAATTTTGAATTTTTTATGAGTAATGTATTTACATTATTCCCACCCTTCCACCTGCCCCCTCCAAACCCTCCCATGTGCCATTCCCCAAACTCTCTCTCAAATTCATGACCTCTTCTTTAATGATTGTTACACACACACACACACACACACACACACACACACACACACACACACACACACACACACATGCCTGCCTAGTCCATTTTGTGTTGTTTGTATGTACACCTGTTTAGGGCTGACCATTTGGGATTGGACAACCTATCAGGGAGAATGTTCCTGAAGAAGACTGACTCGACCTCTCTCCACAGCCGTGAATTACCTGCAGTTCTTCATCAGCTGATGGGGCCTTATACATTTTCCCCCAACCACATTCACACGCCACTGGGCTTGTCCTCATACAGGTCTTTTTATTAGTGAGGTTTCAAGGGTTCAGGTTCTTTGGAATGTATAGAAGACCATTTCACAGCAGACATTACTGGTCCTCTGGTTCTTACAATCATCTCCCCGTTTCTGTGATTTTCCTCGAGTTTTAGGTATAGGAGTTGTATTGTAGATGTATCTATCAGTTGGAGTTGGGCAGCCACGGTCACTTACATTCTACAGACCAGTTGTGGATTCTGTGATAGTCCCCTTTTGTTTCAAGAAGAAGCTTAATGAGGTTGAAAGCTACACTTCTCTGTGGACATATGGCTAAATGTTTAGAACACAGAAACCATATTGGTTTAGGAAAGTGGTCTCCAGGGCCTATGACCTCTCCAGCCACAGTAGCAGGCTGGGTTTACAACACCAGGTGTGAATTCCCTCCTATTGAGTGGGATTTGAGTCTAATTAGACAGCTGTTGACTATCCCTAAGATAAAAGTATCACTATTGCACCATTGAGGATATCTTGCCATACCAATCATTGTTGGGGTTTGTGGGCATCTCAGCTGGGTAGGACGGTTGGTTGCTTTTCTTCCTTGGCAGTTTGCGTAGCACCTACCTGCCAATAGTATGAAAGCTAGACCTCAGAGCAGAGTCTCCCAGGCCAATTCTAGCTCAATTCCTCCAAGTCCTGTGTCCAAAGTGGGTGTTGTCTTTGACTACAGGGTCTCACCTTCAAGTTGCAATGGCAATAGCTTATACTACTTTTAGAATCTCTTGGATTCCACTGATCAAAAACTACAAAGATTTCCTGTGCCTGACACTGAGGTTTTTGTTAGATAGTCTATGGTTCTTGTAAGAAATATTATCACTCTGAGCGACATAACTCCATTTAACATGTGTTTATTTTAAACTTTATTATTTAAAAATTATTTAAAACATTTATTTTGCAAATAAAAAAATTACATGCCAAAATTAGCCAGACCAAAGACTATGCAACTCAATAAGCTTCAATACTATTAGGGTAGCCCCTCGGAGCAGAAGCTTGGAGCTTCCTGCTGGATTTTGTACTTTTACTATCAGATATATTTAATGCATTATCCATTTCCAAAACATAAAAAGTCCACGACAGAGTTAGAAATAGAAAAGCACTTATCTCTACATCATCTTTCATTACTTATGTTCATTACCTGCATCCAGTCCTTTCTTGTTCTCTTTTATGTTATACTGCATCCACATGTATATTTGTTTACATCCATCCATCCATCTATCCATCTATCTGTGGGAACAACAATAAGTCAGGTTAATTCTATGCCAATTTAGCAGGATAATAGTAGTGATTATCTCCCCCAAGGCCTACGATCTGCTCATCACAGATTCTTGGCCTTGATCATAGTGTCACGTATTTCCAACTTGTGGAGTGGGCCTTCAATCCAATCAGAATCAGAGGTGATTGGCTCCTCCCGTGATGTTTGTGACAGTATTGCACCAGTGGGCCTGTTTTATTGTAGTTTGCCCTTTTCTAATTCACACATTGCAAGCCATTTTTAGTTGAAATACACTCAAGTGCAGTGCCCTCTGCTGGTAGAGGACATGCAGCAACACAGCCCTCTGAGTCTCTCTAGGCCTCTATCTGACCAGGAAAAGGGGGTTTTCTACAGATTCCTCCACGGGGATTGCAATCTGGAGAATCAGAGGCAATTAATCACCTATGACAGCAAAGGCTTCTCAGACTCCGTCTACCTGCTCACAGGCCCAAGGGGTAAGCCCAGCCTCTGGACTTCGCCCTGCCTACAGGAGTGAAGGATGCAGCTAGAAGACCCAGAGGGACCTTGAGTGGAAATTCACAGTCAGATGGAGCCTTCTTGTATCAGTGACAGGCACAGGGAGGCTCCCCTGAGAGAATGCCCATGAAGAAGGGCTTCTGCTGGTTAGGATATGGAGAAAGCAGGGCCTGTGATCGTGATAGCAGCCAGCATATGTACAGGCACTGAGACTTCCCAAGAAGTCTGCACACAGCAGAGTCTAGCAGGCATCCCTACCCCCAAATATAAGGGTGGACAGAATGATAGCCACAAAGGTCTGCCAGCATTGCAAGCAAACCCACCCTGCACACATTCCTGGTGGCTTGGGGACAGGGTTCGGCTGTGAAAGTATTTGTCATGCTTTCTCCCAAAAGCAAGAAGAGGAGGGCACCTTCCCAACTCATCTACCTGGGATGACTTGAATTCTACAGCTTTCATAGTCAAGATACCTGGATTTGAGTACCCAACTGGGAAACCAGAGAAGGCTGAGCAGGGCAGGATTATCCTATTCTTGCTTCATAGCCCAAGTCCAACCAGTCTGCAGTGGTCAGGACATCTGATGAATTGGAGTCCAGACTGCATCATCAAAGATCACTTTATAAAGAGATATGCCCAACATTCCTTGTGTTCCTAGAAAGCTGGCACTGTCCTATACACTTGACACTTACTGTGAGCTTTTTAATCTCCACAACCTTCAGGACATTTATCTTGGTTTGAATAAAAATGGCTCCCATAAGCTCATAGGGAGTGCACTATTAGGAGGTGTGGCCTTGTTGGAGTAGGTGTGGCTTTGTTGAAGGAAGTGTGTTACTGGGGGTGGGCTTTGAGATCTCAGAAACTCAAGCCAGCTTTCTTCCTGCTGCATGCCTATCTGGATGTAGAACTCTCAGCTCCTTCTCCAGCACCACATCTGCCTGCACGCTGTGATATTTCCTGTCATGACAATAATGGACTAAACCTCTGAAGCTGTAAGCGAGCCCTAATTAAAGGCTTTCCTTTATAAGAGTTGCCGTGATTATGGTGTCTCTTCACAGCAATAGAAACCCTAACTAAGATAATGTGTAACCTGCTGCTATCATTTCCATTTCATGGTTAATACAACGGAAGCCCAGAGAATTTAAACAACGTGGCCAAGAACATGCAGGTTGACCTTAGTCATGTGATTCCCCAGGACTTCAACCCAGGCAGCTTAACCCCAGAGCCTGCATTTTAACATCTACACCAAACTCCCAAATGTGTTCCCTATCAGAAGGTAATTTGCTGTCAGCACAGCCCCTTGCTCATCCGGGGCGTAGCACTGTGATTCCTTTAGCGCTGAGCTTTGACTCATGGTAAACCTGCTGATGAGTGTCCTGCCAATGAGATCGCACCAAGAAAATGGGAAACGATGAGCATGTATCTACGTAAGACATACTGCAAGAGATTTGAGGATGAGGAGGGGAATAGGTAGACACACGCACAGGG